ATTAATGTATAATAGAATGTGTTTGCATTAAGATAGAATAAAAAAATATGTTTCTATTTCATGGATATCCTTTTACATTAATGTTGATCTATTGTGATACTTTACTGTACTTATTTTGAGAAAGTTATATTTGGTCTGAGCATTTTGAGGAACATTGTGGGAATATTTAAATGTATGCAGAGTTCCATATAAAAATGGCAATAATTGAGATGTACAACGATAATTATTGAATCAACATTACTGTATAGACGAGAATGAAGAGCATGTTCATGATAGTAGGAACAGGAAAAACATAAATAAGGAAGAGAGTGTAGGGGTATCGAGATATTAAAGTTGTCTAGCACTCAGGATGGAAGGAAACTAATGTGGTTTTCTTATATAATATATATAAGTTATATGATAGACAGTCTGGTAGATTATCGACTTTTCGGGGAAGTAGATTTTCGAATTTTGGGGGAAATATTACCTAATTTTGCGAAGTAGATAATCATAGAAAACGGGAAATTTGTATCATAAAAAACAGGAAATATCTACTTCCGAAAGTTGGTTATCTTACTTTCCGCAGATAGTTTTTTTACCTTTCGAAAGTAGAATCAACTTTCCCTGAAAGTAGATATTTCCCATTTTTTATGATACAAATTTCCCGTTTTCTATGATAATCTATTTTCGGGAAAGTTGTTTATCTAACCAACTTTCGCGGAAAGTAGATATTTCCCATTTTTTATGATACAAATTTCCCGTTTTCTATGATAATCTATTTTCGGCAAATTTGGTTATCTAACCAACTTTCCCCGAAAGTAGATATTTCCCATTTTTTATGATACAAATTTCCCGTTTTCTATGATAATCTACTGCAAAATTAGGTACATTTCAAAATTCGAAAATCTACCTCCCCGAAAAGTCGATAATCTACTTTCCTGAAAAGTAGAAAATCTATCTACTTTTCGGGAAAGTAGATAACCAACTTTCCCGGAAAGTAGATATTTCCCAGTTTTTATGATACAAATTTCCCGTTTTCTATGATAATCTACTTCGCAAAATTAGGTAATATTTACCCCAAAATTCGAAAATCTACTTCCGTCTTCTGGGGCAGAATCCTTTCGTTTTCTGGGGTAGAATCCTTCCGTCTTCTGGGGCAGAATCCTCCCTTTTACTGGAAGGAATTTCTGCCGTCTCCTAGGGCAGAATCCTACCGTATTCTGGGGTGGAATCCTGCCTTATTCAACAAGGATGCATTCAGGTGGCAAGAATGATAGCAGTGCCGTCGCCACACTAGTATTCACCCCTGTAGTTTTGTATCGCATCTTCAGGAATAATTTTTTTTTTTTTAGGTGTTTTGAAGCACCAATTTATTTTTTCATTTTGAAAACTGTGACTGGTGTGAACGAGGGAAAACACTGACAAGGAAAAAGAATTTTACAGATGTGCATTTAAAGAAATGTATATGGGTGATAGTTTACATCTGTTGCACAGCATGTTTAAAAGGTCCTTTCGAATGTCTTAAAGTTAGGGTAATGACGAACACAAGTCATTATAAAAATATTTTTATTGTAATAGACACAGATACAAAAATACAGATAGGAGTTGAAAGTAGATTTTGGTATACAAATGAGTGGGGTCTTATGCGTCCGTGATTATCCGCTAGTCTAAGGCGTCAACCATAAAGATGAAGATTTCCTGAAGTGTACATTAAGAGAGATGTGTGTGTGTGTGTGTGTGTGTGTTTACATAATTATATAAGTTGATGACTACGCTATTATTTTTAAGAAAGAAAAAAAACGACACGAGGAAGAGATTCCCTTTGCACTCCGGAGAAAAAGTTTATGATTATGGTTGCCCCCATCATGAAAAATGGTCACCAGTCTCTTACTGTTACCATGACCACCTCATTCATCATGGCCATCACTCTCGTCACCAAGGCCGCTTGCTCTTCACTATGGTCACCACCTACTTCATTATGGTCACCACCGCTCGTCACAACAACCATCTCCCTCACCACAACAAACCCACTTCACCACAACCACCTCCCTCACCACAACACCTACCTCACCACATACCACCTCCCTCACCATAACCACCTCCCCACCACATACCACCTCCTCACCACAACCACTTCACCACAAGTACCTCCCCACCAACCACCTCACGACAACCACCTCCCTCACCACACAACCACCTCCCCACCACAAACTACATCCCTCACCACAACCACATCCCCACCACAACTATCTCCCCACCACAAACATCCCAACCACCTCATCACAACCACCTTCTCACTACAACCACTCTCACCACAACCACATCCCACCACAACCATCTCCCCACTCACAACCACATCCCCACCACAACCATCTCCTCACCACAACCAATACACCCCCACCACGCAACCACACCCCCACCACTGAACCACACCCCTCGCACACAACCACCTCCCCACCACAACCACACCCCCCACCATAACCATCTCCCCACCACAACCACCTCACCACAACCATCTCCCTACCACAACCATACCCCCCACCACAACCATCTCCCCACCACAATCACCTGCCCCACCACAACCAACTCCCTCACCACAACCACATCCCCCACCAGCAACCACCTCCCTTCAACACAACCACCCCTCACCACAACCATCTCCTCACCACAAACTAATAATCCCACCTCCTCACCAACCCCTGAACCCATGACCCCACCACAACCACCTCACCACAACCACATCTCCCACCACAACTGCATCTCCCACCACAACCACCTTCCTCACTACAACCACACACCTCACCACCCTCACCACAACCACCCACCCTGCCACTCACAACCACCTCCCCACCACAACCACCTTCCTCACCACAACCACACCCCCCTCACCACCCCTCATCACAACCACCCCCTCACCTCACAACCACCTCCCCCACCACAACCACTCCCTCACCACAACCACTCTCACCACAACCACCCCTCACCACAACCACCACCACAACCACCTCCCCACCACAACCACCTCCTCACCACAACCACACCTCACCACAACCAATTCCCCCCACCACAAATCACCTCTCACTACAACCAATTCTTCACCACAACCACCTCCCTCACCACAACCACCTTCCTCACCACAATCACTTGCCTCACCACAACCACCTTTCCTTAGCATGATGCGTCTCTCTCCATGATCAAGTATAAGCACATTTTTATATTCTACAATAAGTTCATTTGTTTTAAAACACAAACCCAAATCCCATCGTCTGTAACGGGGAACTCGATGACAGTACTGTACTGTATATACCCGTCCTTTTATATGTGTCATGTTAATGTGTATGTTATGTACGTAACAATTCGGTCTTGGGGAAGTCAATAATACTTTAGGTGTGAATATTATTTCCTCAATGGCAGCGAGAGACCAGAACATTTGCAATCAACTTAATTTCACAAATTACACGCTCAGGGATAGGTTAGCATAGATTAGGTCATATAAACTCGTGCTTAAATAGGTTTTTTATTTTTGAGCACGAAAGTAGCGCTTTTAACTAATGACCTTTCTTCGTTTGCGAGGATTGTAATGGAGAACCGACTCCCTGCACACCAGGAGGTCTACTGAACACTTCCCAGACACTAGCTCGGCTCCCAGCACACCAGGTGGTCTACTTAACACTTCCCAGACACTTATATACAACACACCCATACACTTAATCATGTAAACTTGAGTTCTTACTAACAAATTGATCCTCGAATGAACACAGTACCCAGGCTCATCGTGTTTGTCGCCACAACAAATCTCTTGCTGAAACAACAAGTCTTATTATAATTATTTTACAAAACTACGCAATTACATTTTGGAGTATATAATTACGGCAGAGAGTGAACGTGTCCAACAAATGGGTGGAAATATTCCCCTGATTGTCTGGCCATGCCGGCTACCACCCACCCATGTGACCGCCCACAGACTGACACCCACCCATGTGACCGCCCACACAACCTGACACCCACCCATGTAACTGCCCATAGACTGACACCCACCCATGTGACCGCCCACACAACCTGACACCCACCCATGTAACTGCCCATAGACTGACACGCACCCATGTGACAGCCCATAGGATGACACCCACCCTAGTGACCACCCACACAACCTGACACCCACCCATATGATCACCCCACACAGGCTGACACCCTCATGGCCACCCGCACAGGCTGACACCCTCATGGCCACCCACACAGGCTGACACCCTCATGACCACCCACACAGGCTGACACCCTCATGACCACCCACACAGGCTGACGCCCTCATGACCACCCACACAGGCTGACGCCCTCATGACCACCCACACAGGCTGACGCCCTCATGACCACCCACACAGGCTGACGCCCTCATGACCACCCACACAGGCTGACGCCCTCATGACCACCCACACAGGCTGACGCCCTCATGACCATCCACAGAGGCTGACGCCCTCATGACCACCCACACATTAGAAACAATGTCATCGCCCCCAGGTTACTTAGAATATTAACTAAAGTCCTTAAGACTGTAATAACTTTCTTAGTGACGTGATGGTGTTATGTGTTCATGCTCTTCCCCTGATCAGTAGTCATGAAACTCTATTCAGAAAAATTTTATTCCTATCTCAGTGATGAAGGAATCTTGGGATGAGAAAGTTTCATCTTGGACATGTCAGGGCTAAAGGAGGGGCCTCTCTGGCCTTACTCTTTAAGAATCGGCTCAATCGTTTTTGCCTTGGTTCTCTTCATTGTCATCACTTATGGTGCTTCTTTTAGTGCTGGAAAATGTTAATGATGCTAATAAGTGTGTACCATTCTATAATAATAATAATAATAATAATAATAATAATAATAATAATAATAATAATAATAACAACAATAACAACAATAATAATAATAATAATAATAACAACAATAATAATAATAATAATACAATAAAAAAATAATAAAAATAAACAAAAATTAAATAATAATAATAATAATATTAATAATAATTGAACCTTTAACCTTCATAAAAAAAATGTAACAAACTGAGTTTGATATCAACACTGATGGTATGTGAATACCTGTATATACAAGTATATGGCTATAAACGCAACTGTGTTACCCACTGTTTACACCCACAAACTAAATCATAATTTTTTTAAAGAATGGTGACAAGGTTTATTGAGGCATGCTCATTTTGGCCGAAACAAAGCAGCAACCTGTCCATAAAATATATCGTTCTGTAATTTTCGTTCCCAGCAAAAGAGTTTTACGACACCTGTGAAATATTTTACCCTACCTGATATGATGCATCAACAAAGCTACACCTAACCTTTTCCAACACACACTGGCCAGATGTTGACCCTAACAGCTTCTACTGTTTACGTCTCCCAACACATACTGGCCAAATGCTGACCCTAACAGCTTCTATTGTTAACGTCTCCCAAGATACTCTGGCCAGATACTGACTCAAACAGCTTCTACTAACCTCAACACCCCCTCCTGTGCTTCTATGGTGAGGAATTGATCTTAGTTAACCTGACTTAATTAACCTTCATCACAACTTTCTTTTTCACTTCTCCCGAGTTAAATGTACTATTTCAGATGATACTAAATGTTCCATAATATTTCTTTGAGACAAATGTACAGTATTTCAGGTGCCTTCAAGAGAGCCAAGGCTCTTAACTGGCTCAGCCATGTTAATATTGTTATTATTATGGACTCTATATCTGTGACCTACTGTAAGGTCACCCTGGCTGCGACATACCATCATCTCGACTACAGAATATCATCTTCCCACAGTGGAACAAATTATCATAATATGTGTTCAAATTCATATTATCTTTTGGATATACAAAATTCACTTTGTACTGCAGGTTTGAGGGAGGAGAATTTTTTTCTTAAAAATTAGAATTATTCTCTTATTTCAGCTTCGTTTTTTACATTCAAAACTGATATTTTACTCATATTTGCCCTCCTACTGATTTTATTTTTGAATCATTAGATGCACTGTAACTTTCTAACCCAATAGTGTAATCTAATATACTATAGGACTAGCCGTCTGTCTGTCTGTTCTGGGCAGCCGAAACGGCACAATCGTTTTTCATCAAACTTGGTGGAAAAATCGCAAAAAAATCGTAGAGTAGAACAAACCTGGCCCCATATCGATGGTTTCTTTAGGAAGGAATTAATTAAAAATTTTATTTACGATGGAAAACGATGCAAGTGTACGGACTTGGCACAACCTAGTTAACCATGCAAGTCTACGGACTTGGCGCACCCTCATTCGCTGTACGCTGTCACGAGCGTTCAAACTTTCACAAGGGCACGAAGGGCCCATGTTTAGTGTTTTTGCTTGTCCATGAAAAAATTAAGTCATGTGTGAGTAACTTTGAGAGTGGTGTCCATTCAAAGGCCGCGCAGGTGACAGTATTGTAGTGCACGTACGAACAATATCGTCGCGGAAATCTGATTGATATGTTCTATCCTTGTGACCATACTTGTGTCCTCAGTAATACTTTGGCAAGTTTAACAGACTGTGACCAAACCTGATGATGTTTTGCCTCAGAGCCACTAACATATTTGAATTAATTAACTATAGTTTTAGGCAACTCAGTATAATGAAACCAAACCTAAATTTACGCCTAACATCTGCTGGTAAAATAGATAAGATATTTAAAAATATCTTGGCAAAGTATTGCCTGTCTTGTGGATATATCTCAAACTTTTACGAAAAAAAAATGGTATTGATATTACGCTTTAAATTCTATGTAAACAATATTTTAGAGAACTTTTTTTCAGGTATAAAAAATCTTAAGAAATAACAACTTCACCAGTGTCAATATGTGAAGGTGTAACGTATTGTGCGTCGTAGCCATGTGCCTCACATAGTTATACTGCCTAAGCTGTCACATCATGATAACACATCCATCTCACCATGTTTAGCGGACATTTTTGTAGTTTAACTTTTTCGGGGAAGAAATAACTACTATTGTCTAAAATGGGTAATTTCATCACAGTAGTGTAGTTTACAGCGCTCCACTGTAACATGAAGTGGCAGGGATTATTTAATCTACTGTTGAATGGAACACTCATGTAAAGGCGATATAGGTGCACGAACTTAAAGAACGAAAAAAAAAATCACGAGTCCCTGAATATTCTCATGTGGTCGACGAACTACAAAGACCACTAACAAAACTATCAGGTGTGTTCTTCAAGGGGGTGTCCATGTGGTTAGAGAGAGCTGGGGTGTTGCTGATGGTCGTGTGTGAGGCTACTGCTCTCCATGTGTCGAGGCCAGGCGCTTCAAGGCATTGGGTGATGATAGGCAGCAGGAGGCCTTCACAACGGCTGTAGGAGTACATTACAGCAGCTGTAGGAGGCCATCATGGCACCTTAGGATGCCATCACAGCAGCTGTAGCAAGCCCTCACAGCAGCTGTAGGAGGCCATCCCAGCAGCTGTAGGAGTATATTACAGCAGCTGTAGGAGGCCATCATGGCACCTTAGGATGCCATCACAGCAGCTGTAGCAAGCCATCACAGCAGTTGTAGGAGGCCAACACAGCAGCTGTAGGAGGCCACCATAGCAGCAGGTGACGATCGCAACGGCAGCCTCTCACAACAGTTATAGTCCATTACGTCAGTTGCGGAAGGACATCACTGTAGCTGCAGGAAGCCAATACAGAAGCTGTAAAACCCATCACAGCTGCTGTAAAACTCCATTACAGCATCTGTAGAAGGCCATTACAGCAGCAGGAGGCCATCACAGCAGCAGGAGGCCATCACAGCAGCAGGAGGCCATCACAGCAGCAGGAGGCCATCACAGAAGCTGCAGGAGGCCATCACAGAAGCTGCAGGAGGCCATCACAACAGCAGATAGTCATCGCAGCACTAGGTGGCCATCACAGCAAGAAATGGTAGATTATGGTCAACAGCAGCAGCACGTAGGAGCCAACACAGCCTCGGCAGGTGGACCCTGTCTGCATCGCCTGTGGCAGTTCTCCTGTTGGCAAAAACAAATAGTTAGTGTTGCGTTAGTTGTTAATACCAACTGTAGGGTGAAGTACAGTAATTAGTGGCGGGATGTTATCATTACCAGCTATAAGGTGAAGTAGTTAGTGGCGGGATGTTATCATCTAATATACTATAGGACAAGGCGTGTGTCTGTTTGGGTGTCTGTTCTGAGCAGCCGAAACGGCACAATCGTTTTTCATCAAACTTGGTGGAAAAATCGCAAAAAATCATTGAGTGGAACAAACCTGGTCCCATGTCGATGGCTTCTTTTGGAAGGTATTAGTTAACATTTTCATTTACAAGGGAAAACGATGCAAGTCTACGGACTTGGCGCACCTTAATTAACAATGCAAGTCTACAGACTTGGCACACCCTCATTCGCTGTACGCTGTCACGAGCGTTCAAACTCTCACAAGGGCACGAGCGTGCCCGAGATCACTTGTAACCAGCTATAAGGTGAAGTAGTTAGTGGCGGATTACCAGTTGTGTGTTTAAGTAGGAAAATGTGGGATATTTGTGAGAAAAAAAATAGAACAGGCTCACAGCGTTAAGATATAATCATGATAAATCAAGAGGTTAAACAGAAGATTTTCTCACCATTTAGCACACTAACTCTGACAGATGCTTCCTTCATGCCCTGCGGCGCACAGATGTATACGCCGGAATCCTGCACTGTGACGTCGGGGATAAGCAGGATACTGGTGGTGACGGGGCCCTTGTCCGTGTTGATGGTCACGCCCTGCCGCGACCCATCAAACGACACCATCTGCAATTTGATTTATTTGGTTTACCACTACCCTAACAGCGGTTACGGGTTCAATGTATTGGTCTGCTACTACTATGTTGTGACATTTTGAGGGGAGGGGGAGAATAGTTACTGAAGGGGTGATGGCAGAAGGGGGGGTAGTAGATGAGGAGGTTGCGATCAAGGGCGTGATGTTGGAATGACTTTCAGTAAGTATCGTCAATGTTTTGACTGTCATCATGAAATGCTTACATGATGATTTTAAACAAGATTTGACACTTAACATAATATGCCAGATTTACCAGGCAGGTTTTATTTAGAGGAAGTATGTTAATTTCAATATTTAAAATATATATATATATATATATATATATATATATATATATATATATATATATATATATATATATATATATATATATATATATATATATATATATATATATATATATATATATATATATGTAACCGGTCGGAATTTGCTGGACTTTAATTTCTCACTTGACTTGGGGTTTATTAAAAATTAATAGATGGTAATGGCAGTGGAAGCGCCCCTTTGAGAAAAATCCCGAACCAGCACAAGAACACTTAAATCTACTACACAAAATGAATTGTCCGTGACCCGTGGAAGGATAGCGTCTGTGACTGGGATGAATGAGACACACTGTAAAATTTAGACACTTATATTCCCTCCAACACTACAAATACAATCAAATAATGGTACACCAATATGCGCACCTCTTAACTTAAACTTAAAACACTACTCTGGGGAATAAAAGTTATAAATGACATAGAAATTATTAGAAACACAGGCAACAATAAATTTGAAGTATTAAGAAATGTTAATTGCACACATGAACAGGCCTTACGGGCTTTCACAAAATAATATCAGTCACTTAGGAAATGGTACTAAAAAATAAGAAATTAAATACTCCACAATGAATAGGCCTTAAGGGTTTTCAACAAAATAATATCAGTCACTGAGGAATGGTAATAAAATATAAGAATTTAAATACTCTACAATGAATAGGCCTTAAGGGCTTCCAACAAAATAATATCAGTCACCGAGGAACTGGTAATAAAAAATAAGAAATTAAATACTCTACAATGAATAGGCCTTAAGGGCACTCAACAAAATTATAGCACCCCAACAGATGTACACTTCCTAACCTAACTTAACCACTACTCTGGGGAACAAGGTTATACCTGAGATCAGAATTATGAAGAACAATTAGAGGCATTAAAAGAATCAATCACAGTATCACTCTGGTTCCACTTAATGGCACAAACATTCAAAACAATATTATCAAAATTATTTAGGACTATTAAACTACACACGTCAAGATAATATCAGTCTGAGGAATGGTGTTAACTACACCCGTAATAAGGAAGATAAAATGTTCCTCTAGGTATCTCCTAGAGTCCTAGACTCACGGTCTCAGTGTGTGACCATTAATATACTCAGATAGCCTCAGTGTACTCCCAGTGCGTCCATGGGCAGGAAGAGAGTGAGCCAATCAGACCTTGTGCAGTTGAGAGAAACTTTAGCTTCCCGTTAGCAAGAGGGTTTCACTAAGCGGCTCGGGACATGTGGTGTGTGAGCCGAGGGAGAGGAGGGCTGCTGACCCACGATCGTCCCGACGTCAGCTGGGCACCCAGACGGCTAGATTCCCTCAAGAGATCCCTTGGTACCCCACTAAACAGTGACAGGCCTACACTGATCAGTCCAATGGCGACAATCGCCACCCTCAATCATCAACGGCAGTATCAAACGGCAGTCAATCTCTCGCAGTCAAACTCCGGTCAACTCCGGTCAAGTGGGTTCTGACGGAAACCCTGAAATGAACTCACTGTTAGCTCTAGTTTACTTTATCACTGCCCTATCTAACCCTGTCTGAGATCGAATGAGACTTACTTGTTATACTGCAATAGCGCAGCACAGGTGACTAGGCCACGTGACTATTTCTGATGGACGCGCGGAACGTCTTGTCTGTGTGAGTGCTCTCCGGGACTGGGAGAGAACCCGCCTCGTGCCCTCTCAAGGCGTTAGCTTGGGCCTACGTGATATATTTTCCGCCTAACTAATAACTCCTTGGGACACCCGTAACATTATTCAGACTGCTAAACGATCTATAATAATTTCAAATTCAATAATAGTCCCTTAACTTCATGAGTCGCATCATTATTAATTCGGTAAATCACATTTAATATCATATAGGCCTAGTTCCGCAATCTCTCGCTACGAGCAGGCAGCGCTCCCTCCCCTCAGATGACCTTGAACGCTCAGTATCACTCATGGCGGGGCATTTGAAATTACTCTGAAATTTCTGAATATTACAATCGACCCCCCTAAAAAAAGACAGCACTGTCCTCATGTGCTGAGAAAACATGCATACGACCCCCCTAAAATTTTGTTCTAAGGACTGCATCTCACCCCTTTAACGTGCTAAATGCAGCATTTGTCTTCTCTTCTCTCCTTTTCTCTCCCGCTAACATATATATATATATATATATATATATATATATATATATATATATATATATATATATATATATATATATATATATATATATATATATATATATATATATATATATAAAACAAAGAAGTATGTCTGTGTGTGTGTCCTCACGAGAATCTCGGAAACTACTTTACTGATCTGTAGTGATGATAGATGGTGTTATATGTAGTGATGATGGGTGGTGCTATATGTAGTGATGATGGATGGTGTTATATGTAGTGATGATGGATGGTGTTATATGTAGTGATGATGGATGATGTTATATGTAGTGATGATGGGTGGTGTTATATGTAGTGATGATTAGAATATAAAATAATTACAGTTTAATGCTAAAAAATATGCTTTGCTGTACCGTTGTAGTGAAAAACATGGTGGAACTTACATACACCGTTAATGAAGTATTGATGGAAGAAGAAGTTTTGGGGACTGAACAGTGAGACAATGTGGAGCCTCCCGGAGGGTGGCGTCCTACCTTGGCCTAGCGAATGAGCCGCCCGGACCAAACTTGGCACGGGTAGCAAGTGTCATGATGAGGTGACACAGTTTCAGCAAGGCCATTATATATGCAGCGGATATAGATATATTTGCAAGTAAATCACTGCAGGTGTGCGTGATCCAAGTATATGCTGATAACCACAAGAAAACACGTAGTTCCCAAGCCTTTCGTGTAATTCACATCTTTAGGGGTGAGTACAGACTAAGGAGAAATACTTGAAAAGACTAATATATACAGCAGAGGAGAGTGAGATTATGTCCCTAGGGGACAGCAGGTGTCCACAATGGTCCGGTCATTAGTCAGTGACCCTTCTAATCTTCATAAGCACAGCAGATGTCCGTAGTCAGGTCATAGGGCAAGATGACCCAACCTTCTCACCTGGTTACAAATCTTCTTCATTACAAAATTATCCAGTTTGTACATACCATTACTCAAATTCATGTTGACGAATTCGGCATGTTTAATGAGACTGGATTCTATAATGTTCCTACTGACAATTGACTTATAAGGTAATATTGAGAGGGCATCATCCCAGTCAATGCAATGCTTATTATCTCTTATATGAACGAACAGAGCATTGGATTCCTGGCCTGTCCTGTTCTCGCGGCACCTGGAGAAGGAAGTATAAAGGGGTGCGGTGTGTAACTCTTCATGATACATCTTCACTAATATTTGTGACCAGATGCTGAGAAACTAACAGTGTCTCATCAGTTTATTCCAATACTCAACATAATGGTACGAATTAATGTGATAAGAATGGCGGAAGGCTACCACTACGAGGGTGATGCGTTCATAATTTAACACTCGACAATAAGGCTAAACTTTCCCTCGTGGTTAGTTATAGGACAATTTGCTTTGTTATTATCTATTTATGAGACGTACTTTGTTGTAGGATCCATTATGGCCAAGGTTCACGACATACGACGGACGCCCTATCCATTGCACAATGACTGTGACTGGCAGGCAGCCAACACGAGCTCCAGGCTGAACCTCCTATCTTCATTATGATTCCCAATAATGCTTTATCAGCCAGTTAGTAATAAGAGTCCTAAACTTAAAGTCCAGAATTGTGTTCTCGTATTGTAGGAGGGAACTCCTTCATACTCACAAAATTTGTATTACTGCGCTACAACTTCTAAGGTTCGTAATTACAATATTCCATCCACAACTAAAGGTTACGAAACAGAACTTTACACTTTATTAAATTGAATAAATAAAGATGAACAGTTCACAATTGCTACAAATAGAAGTGTGGATAGAAATTTAACAGGTAGAAGGGATGGGTACAAGAGGAACACATCATCACTAACCTTGTCACGGTGGTACCAGAATACGTTTTCCGGAGGCTCCGGGCTGTCCGGTACCATGCATGTGATGTTCAGGGGCGACCCGAGATCTACGTACAGCTCCGGCCCTGGGGGTATCACCGCCCGTGGCTCTGGTGATGGCAGAAAACACCTTTTGTTATCCCACACACACACACACACCAATGGTAGCAGAAGGGTAAACCACTTAATATGATGCATCCTATAACTTGCACACCGTTAACATGGTTTCATCGCCCAGATCATATAATTCGATGTTAATTTCCTCCACTACAGTAGGACCGTATTCCTCATGCCCACTTAATCACTACCGGTTATGAGGTATTGTCTGTATCGAACAAGAAACACTCACACACTACGACTACTACTATTTATTTTTTCTTGGCCTCCAGCCTCCCTCAATAGACACACCTTCGCTGCCATTTTATTCCATTAAAATTAAATCTCCTGATACAAAAGTAGCTACCCTTGCTGTGTTGAGATAGTTGAGATAGTTGAGCCGCAGATCTATGCGCCATTCAGTGACTGTTGCCCCATAGTCAATATCTGTGACCGTTGTCGGCTTTGGGGCTGAAGATCTCGTTCCCCTGAGGCAGAGTAATGGTCTGGGCAAGAACCAAAAATCTTCCCCTTATGAGATATCACCACGGCGATTGTGGGAGGTGGCTACCCGTATTAGGGAGGGCAAACTATGAGGATCAAAGTTATACAGTAAATACCTAACCGGAGCTTAGCCGGATAATTTTGCTAATACATATATATGTATGCACACACGAAAGTGATGAAGACAAAATTACGAGACATAAATGTCACTTACCTACCACGTTGAGTGTGATGACTCGTGCCCTGGGCGGCCTCGTCGACACCTGACACTCATACTTGCCAGAATCTCGTAACTGAGGAAACTTGATCCTGAGTGACCACACGTCCGACCCCGGCTTGTTCATAGCCTCGAACCTGTCGTCATTAGTGAAAGTGAGGCGACCTACTGTCAGCACGTGGATGTCCTCGTGACGCACCCACGACACCTGTCGACACATGTACACCTACGTTATTAACGTCCTATCCACATGCTTGAACGTATTCACCTATTACAGAGAAAACATCATTAGTAATGTCGAGGTAGGGAACTAACTTCCTAACAGCGATCACAAAGAAATTAGATTCCAGTTAGAATTTCAGGGCAGCCGCAAGGAAAATTCCACTAAAGTCCCAGATTTCAGAAGGGCAAACTTTGATAGTTTGAAGAGGCAGATGAGAGAAGGGGTATCATGCTTGGGGGTGAACTACATGACCTCACATGAGGTGACCTCACACAGTGTACCCACAGAGGGCGACCTCACCTTACCGGGAGACCTGATAACGAGATCTGAGGTTGCCGAGTTCCACAACAATTTAAATAATGAGTTACTTAATGCACAAAGGCAGAACACACCATACAGAAAACTCAGATCAAACAACAATGACTCTAAATGGATAAATAATTATTTAAAGAATATTATTGGACAAAGGAAGGCTATAGGTAGGAGAATAAATCGTGGTGAAGTCTTCCTCCGAGATTATTATAAGGTATTGGCCGGTAGGGTTAAGACCGAGATAAGAAAAGCAAAGAAGAATAATGAACTGAAGACAGCAAGGGAGATGAAATCAAACCCCAAGGGATTCTATCAAATGAATCAAACTAAAACTCGAGAAAAGATTGGACCAATACAGTCAGTTACCGGCGAGCTAACTGATAACGACGGAGAAATGAGCAATACTGTAATCTGAATAAATAAATTTTAACAGTTTTCACCACCGAAAATTTAAACATGATACCCGAGGCACCGACTCTATACAGAGATAGCGAAGAAAATAAATTAAGCGAGATAGTAGTGACTAGTAACGATGTTAGTAAGCAAATAGACAAACTAAAGCCTAATAAGTCATCAGGTCCAAATGAGATATTTGCCAGAGTATTAAAGGTATGTAAGGAAGAGCTTAGTGTGCCCTTAGCAAAGTTGTTTAACATGTCCTTAAAACGGGTGTAGTACCAGAATCCTGGAGGATAGTGAATGTAATACCGATTTTCAAGAAGGGAGATAGATCACTATCCTCTAACTACCGACCACTCAGTCTAATATCAATTGAAGGCAAATTACTGGAAGCAATCATTTCAAACTATTCGAAATCACCTGGAGAAGCACAAGTTGATCAATGATTCCCAACGTGGCTTCACAAGCGGGCGTTCATGTCTAACTAATCTATTAACATTCTTTTCATCTGTTTTCGAATCAGTGGACGAGGGGCACAATTATGATGTGGTATATCTCGACTTTAGCAAAGCCTTTGACAGAGTCCCACATGAAAGACTAATAAGAAAAGTGGAGGCTCACGGCATTAAAGGAGATATTCTAAAATGGATTAGGGCATGGTTACAGGACAGGAAACAGCGAGTGAGCATTAACGGCACTAAATCCCATTGGAGCAGCGTCACTAGTGAAGTTCCTCAAGGCTCAGTACTCGGACCATTATTTATTATATACTGTACATAAACGACATAGATATTGGCGTAGACAGCAACATAAGTAAATTTGCTGATGACACTAAAATAGGGCGTGTAATTAAATCTGACGATGACTCAGCAAAACTACAGGAAGATCTAAACCAATTTTTCGAATGGTCTGAAAAATGGCAGATGAGATTCAATGTGGACAAATGTAAAGTACTCGGTATAAGAGATGTAAACAGGGAAACCAGTTATCAGCTGAACAACGATGTGAATATCACATGGATAAGATAAATCTTGATAAAATCACAGGGAAAAGGGAAACAATGGAGCACCTTAGCTTTCGTCTTTATTCAAGACATCTTCAGAGGCAACCGAATTACATGGACAGAGAGAGGCTTAAGTACACAGGGTGACCTTACTAAACATGAGGTCAGGTCATAAACATGACATCCTCTAATCCGCACACACCACACACGTAAAGGAGCTTAAGAGAAAGGGCGACGTGAATAGTCAATTTAAGTCAGGTAAAAAATATGGGACCCACTAATCATCTATCCTACATCTACCTCCAATGCTTTAAAAGCATTTTTAACCTTGGGCCACTGACAAATATATTTGTGAAACATGTTATCAGTTTTGTACTGACCATCACTAAGGTTTATAGAATTCAATTCCCTAATCAAACTAGCTTCAACCAGAAGTCTTTCTGTGACACATGATGATTTGTACACTTCTAAGCGCATTCGTAATTTAAACAAACCGTGGCATCTCTTCTCCCGGGCCGAGCTGTGTTCGCTGGTAGCAAACCCTATTTCGAATCCTCAAAATATATTGTTTTCCTCCCGGGACTTGCAAAAATACATATCCATATTAAAAAATATTCTTAATCACCAAATATATATATATATATATATATATATATATATATATATATATATATATATATATATATATATATATATATATATATATATATATATATATATATATATATATATATATATATATATATATATATATATATATATATATATATATATATATATATATATATATATAGCCCTCGCGGTGTACCGAGAAGCAACTTGCATAATTCTTTCTCTGCCAGTACACAGCCTCTTCACCATCAAGTCTCCTGCTGCGCCTCCTCGTGGCAACACACGGTAACTGGGTGCCTCGTGACCCCAGGCTAGATCAATAGGGGATCTCAGAGTCTCAGTGGGTCCCAGAGGGACAGTGCATAGGCTCACTGGCATGTGGAGACATCCTGGCGCCTACCAACTACTGACCCGCTGCCTTGTAGATTATCCTTGGTAGGTATAAGGCTACGGGAGTAAACCCCGAACGAAAAATGAGCGTGGGGCCCTGCATCAGGCTGCCATGGTAACAGAGCTCCAATAAGACCCCAACGGCGGTATAGGCGGAAGAGGTGACCACCATGGGAACCCAACGACGACACCGGCAGACGAAGGCAATGCATGATGGACATGGTAATAAGGCGAAACCCAACAAACTGGGCTATCGGCAGACCATTGCAACTCCCCCTCTCCCCAGTCGTTGCAACATTTGTACCATTGGATAAGGAAAAGGAAGACTCAAGACGTGTGGTTGCAGCCTGCCCTCCTGCCTCTCCACATAAATCAGCTCGCACGCAGCCATAATCCAGCTCACCATACCTCTCATTATCATCAAAACCGCTATACCCCCAAAAGTCCAATGGCGACAGACAAGTGGTAACAGTGACAGGACAGAGGCGAGTGACGGGAGTCTCTAGTCACAACTCTGCACATGGGCTGCACAGATAAAATGCTCGTTTTACTCTGGGATCTAAGTAGCAGTGCAATCCGGTTCTGTCTGCGCGACTGAGCAGCCCTTTCGTGGAGCCACTCTGCTCACCCAACATGGAGAGAGAGATAGAAAAGATGCCCTAAACATAGCCTGCCTAAAAAGCCAACCTGACTGGGAAACCGCACCTAGTTTTGACATCCTTATGCGGTCGAAAACACAATAAAAATCACTGATCCAAAGGAAATCAAACAATACCTCTTATGTTCGCTGCATGGAATGTCAGGACCCTTCAGGATACTGGCACAAATGAGCGTCCTGAAACAAGAACAGCTCTTGTGGCAAAAGAGCTGGCTAGGTATATCATCGACATAGCAGCCATCAGTGAGTCCTGGCTAGACCTTCTTCTGGAAGGGGTGCCTGCTGCAGAGAGAAATCGCATTTATGGTGTTGGCTTTGCCATCCGCCAACGCATCCTACACAGGCTAACTGAAATGCCTATTGGGATTAACGAGCGCCCCATGACGCTCCGAGTCCCACTCAATCACTCACGTCATGCCTTTTTCATCAGAGCATACGCCCTAACACTGGAAGCAGAAGATGACATCAAGGATGCCTTTTAAGCCGACCTCGATAGAGTGCTAACCTCTATCCCCAGTGAAGATAAGGTTGTGCTCCTTGGTGACTTCAATGCTAGAGTTGGCAGAGATGCTGACATTTGCGACCGGATGTCGGGGTGCACCCGAGTACGTTTACCACAAGCTACTGAGCAGATGTTATATAGTAACAAAAGCAGCACTCATAGAGCTTTTAGTTCCACACATGTGTCGTGTTAGCAGTGGGTGTTATCTCACTCGTCACACATCATCTCTTTTATCAGTGTTGTTCATCATTAGTAGCACATACTCACTCACCTCAATTGTCTCTTTTTTAACACCAAACAACAGTATCATGTTAACTGTGAGGTCCTCAAGTGCCACCTTTTTAACACCAAACAATAGTGTCATGTTAACTGTGAGGCCCTCAAGTGTGAGCCGATGTACAGCAGAGAAACGAAGGTCCATAAGTATAACGAACAAAGTGACTACAATTTTTATTTCATATAACTGTAACCCTAATGATAGCTATCTATTATCCATCTGCCTATTTACATATCCACTTGTTCATAAGTGTTTAATTTTTAATATTTCCTTTGTAAATCAGTCGGTATCTGTGGCTGCAAGTAAATCACTCATCTTTGTAATATTAACAATGCACTGCTCTTGAAATGAATGATAGTTATCAATAATAACAATGTACATAATTTGTGAACGTGAAAAAAGTCGTAGCTTCATTAGTCGACATCTATACATAGAATATAAAACACATATCAGATGTTAAACTAGAGCTGGTAATAATTTTTCCTAATGTTAATGACATAAATAATTCAAACTACCTTGTCAGATTCCTCTCACTTTCTAGCCAGTTTCCTTAACTCTTCAGGTTTTATTTCCAATTTAATGTACCAGTAATCAAAATGAATCGCCTCCATTAACAAATATTTGCAGTATTTCATTTGTGTACTGTACGTCAGGAGTTAATGGTAAACCTTATAATGTTTCATCTTTCAACTATCTTTCCATATAATTTGCATTTGCATAGTGTTTTTTTAAGAACTTTCTGCTGATTACGTTCGTCTGTTTTCCTTTGCTATTAATTGGTTAAATTCCTGTGTTTCTTTTCTTAATGAAAACGTTTCCACAACTTGAGTCACCGTTGTTAATATCCTTCAACACTACACTTGGCCACACCTGCACATTTTCCCTACCTGGCCACACCTGAACATTTTCCCTACCTGGCCGCACCTGCACATTTTCCCTACTTGGCTACACCTGCACAGGTCCCCTATCTGATCACACCTGCACACACGTCCGCTACACCCTCACAGTTACACATACACCTCCTCTCCTGTTTATATTGTACGTTGTGTGCCCTCGACTTCCTCATTCTGTCAACTCTCCCTTCTATTCTCAACAAATCTATATTAATTAATACTAACAGTTAGTGTCTCTGACAAAGGGTCATCTATACATACGTTTTATTAGAAGAGTCAGCAGACAAAGACTAAAGTCGTTATTATCATAATAATCAAGATCAAAGGACTAAAAGACAGGATAACTCAGGGTGAAGTATATGCAGAACCTTTGAATAACCTCTGAGAAAATACCACATCAATAAAGAAACGACACTCCTCCCAAACCAACATCAGTATAACGACCCAAGAGTATATAACAACACATATCTTATCCTGGTCAATCAATCAGGATTCATGATTCGTGAGTAATTCAGCCAACTGCGGTGTTCTAGTACTCTGGCCTACAGAATCATAGGAGTCACCGTTATAATAGAAATACAACACTACGACACTCAAACACGTGTGTGTGTGTGTGTAACGTATACACAATGCCATGGTGACAACTCTGGCTGGCAACAGAACTATCGATTACCTACTGTTTTTGTGCCGATGTTGAGGACGTGACAGTGGAGATATGCGGTCTTGTCCCTGATGACGGTGGCGTTGACGGAGGTGGTGTTGGCAAAGGAAGGAAGTACTTGGTTACTGAATCTCGCAGGAGGCGTAAACACGGCTGTGGAGCCGCTGTTGCCCATCTTCTGTGTCAGCACGTTGGGGAATATTAAAGCGGGCTTCACCATGGTGGTGGCGCTGCTGCTGGTGGTGTAGCTGGAGGTGTAGGTGGTAATCGCGGCGGCACTGGCTGCCTGCAGCCTGGTGTATACCTTCCCGCTGGACGCCGAGAATGAAGCCGCCGGCTTGGAGCCTGAAACAGCGGGAATAATGACATGATTAGAAACATCCATTATGCACTTTAAAGTGTCGTTTCCAACAATAAGAATGACCAGCGTGAGAAATACATCATAACCAAGGGATATCTAATAAGGAGGTTATACTTGAAGCGTTTAGCGGGGCGCAGTTGGCGACATTTGGAATCAATTTCAGTTGGTCTCCTCAATGATGGGATGGCGACACTGTCGCCAATGTGACGTAGTTGTGCTTATTTATTTTTTTGTTTTGACCGAGACATTAGAATGCATAATGGCTCCACGTGGATATAAGTCTTGCTCTGTCTGCAAAAAAGAACAAACTACTGCACAGTGATTTAAAATGCCAAAGATTTCCGAAAAATCACAAAAGGTTAGTAGAGACCTAATGTCGTTTTACTTAACATATCTTCAGGTTATACTTTTTTTTTCGAAGAAATCTGAAATGACAGATTGGTTCTCCTTGGACTTGGATTCGGGCAGGCTTGAATGTATCAAGAGTTCAGGATTAGTTACTAGCCAGAGTTTTGATAACTGAAAAAATAAGACGTGGAGATTCTAATGCAGGATCAACATGATTTGGTATGTTTTTTGTTTACTTGGTAATGTTTCATGTTTACATGAATTTTTGTGTTTTCCTTCCCTCCCTCAGCCTAACCCCACCTTCCCTCCCTCAGCCTAACCCCACCTTCCCACCCTCAGCCTAGCCCCACCTTTCCTCCCTCAGCCTTTGTCCAGTCCCACCTTCGCTCCTTCAGTCCAGCCAACCTTCGCTCCTTCAGTCCAGCCCTACCTTTCCTCCCTCAGGCAAGTACTATACCTTCCCTCTCTCAGCCAAGCTCCATCTTCCCTCCCTCAGCCAAGTCCCATTTTCCCTCCCTCGGTCCAGTCCCACCTTCCCCTGGTCACCCCAGTTCTACCTTCCCTCCTTCAATTCAGTCCCACCTCAACCCCCCCTCAGTGAGCTTTCGCGCTCCGGTCACTACACATGCAAGTCAAGATAAACAGCGCTGTCTACCACCTGTGTGTGTGTGTGTTGGTGACTTCAATACCAGAGTTGGCAAAAATGCTGACATTTGGCAGGGACCCCTATGGAGAAATGGACTAGGCAAGTGTAATCCCAACGGCCTACTCCTCCTCAGCACGTGTCCTGCACACAACCTTGTTATCACCAGTACCCTGTTCTGGCAGGCCAACAAGTTCAAGGGTTAGTGGCAACACTCACGATCCAAACACTGGCATCACATTGACTACATCACTGTCAGAGAAAGAGATCGCCGATATGTCCTCATCATCCGTGCCATGCGTGGCTCGGACCACTGAGACACTGATCATCGGCTCGTCAGAGCCAAGCTCTCACTTCACGTTGCCCCAAAACGGCGAAGGCAGCAAGCCTCCAGAAGAGGTTTAACACTAAGCATCTGGAGGATCCAGCGGTAGCACATGCTTTCAGAGAGCAGCTCGAACATGGGCTGATAAACAACCCAACAGCAAACAACGCAAATCCCAGTGCCGAATGGGATATTCTCGACACTGTCATGACAAAAACCTGCAGAGAGACCCTCGGACAGGTCGAAAGAACTGGTTTGAAGAAAATGACCCGGCAATCAATGTATTCATCAATGATAAACGTGCTGCTTTAACTTACTTTCAGAACAATCCTCAGTCTCGGACCAAAGCTGATACTTTCCTCAAGAAGAAAGCTGTGTGTAATGGCCCCTGTCTCATCAACAGAAGTATTATATAAATGGGTTCTTTACATTTGATTTATATTCAAATTCATCCCCTGTAAGTTTCCACTAACTATGAGGAGGTCATGATCAGAACACGTGAGTGGAAGATTCCTTGAAGATTCCTTGGTCAGCAATTGTGTGGGCGCGGATAAACCGGCGCCCATTGGCAGTCTCACTCACAAACTAATATCGAACGGACGTTGATTCACATCTAGTTACATAGACGCCGTCCTTTCTCATCACACTCATAAATAGTGGAACTTACGGTTGATCTACACTCAGGAATTATACAAATAATACCTTTTTTAATAAAAGAAGAAACTTCAATTGGGTTTCGTTACTAAAGCCCAATATAAAATAAGTGTACCAACCTGGTTAACTGGGAATTAACCAGCCGGTTCAGGTAGCCCAACGGGAACTTCGCAATCTAAAGAACGACTGGTTTAAAAATAAAGCCTGTGAAACACAAAACTTTGCAGATCAGCACAAGATGCGCGAATTTTTCAATTCACTAAAATATTTTATTGGTCAACCACTCGTGGCACTACAACTCACTGCTAAACCGAAACACCGATGTGGATGTCCTGACTACCAAGCAGGTCCCTCAACATGCAGAGCTGACCCACCTCAGCTATCCTCCATCCCTGGATGAGGCAGCTACTGCCATCAAACAGGTGAAAAATAACAAAGCTTCAGGGCCTGATGGAATCCCAGCCGAGGTGTATAAAGCAGGAGGACCTCTCTTACCAATCGACTCCACTCTCTCCTGGAGAATATACGGGAAGAGGAGGATTTCCCCCAAGCTCTTAAAGGCGCCTCCATCGTTAATATTTATAAGAACAGGGGAGACCGGCCAGACTGTGACAACTACCGCGGGATCTCGCTGCTGTCCGTAGCTGGCAAGATTATCGTCCGAGTCCTCCTAAACAGACTTCACCCTGAGGCGGAAAACTTCCTCCCAAAATCTCAATGTGGCTTTAGACCATCACGTGGCACCACTGATATGATCTCTGCTGCTCGTCAGATACAGGAAACGTGCAGAAAACAGCTTCGTGACCTGCACTTGGCTTTCACCGACCTAACCAAGGCCTTCGACTCGGTTAACAGGGAAGCCCTCTGGTGGACCCTCAGCTACTTTGGCTGCCCACCAAAATTCATCGCCATTGTGAGGCAGCTGCACGATGGCATGGATGGCAGCGTACTGCACAATGGCACCCAGTCTGAGTTCTCCCCATCCAAACAAGGGAAAAAGCAAGGGGGCGTACTGGCACCAACTCTCTTTTACTTTTTTCTTGGCTGCCTTCCTTACTTGTGCCAGGGCAAAATTCGCCGGCGGGGAGGACATCGAGTACCAGATGAAGGATCTTTTCAACATAAGACGACTCCAGGCAAGAACAAAGGTGTCGGCAGGTTCCATTACTGAACTTCAGTATAAAAACAACCTCACCCTTGTCGCTCACACTGAACGTGACCTACAGGAGTTCCTGAACACCTACGCAGATGCGTATGCACACTTCGGCCTTTAGGTGAATGTACGTAAAACTCAAGATGCTCTTTCAGCCTTCCCCTGGTTCAGCCACACCTCCACCATCCAACCAGCTTTACGGTACTACCCTCATTAATATTACCCACTTTCGGCATCTCGGCTCCCACCTGTCCACCACCGCGGACATTGATGAAGAGATTCAGCATTGGATCAGATGTGCATCCCAAGCCTTTGGCAGACTCTGAAACCGTGTCTTCCGTTGTTGGGAGCTGAAATTATCTACAAAGTTACAAGTATATCGAGCAGTGGTCCTCCCCACCCTGATATATGACAGTGAGACATGGAGGCACACCAAGGAACTTGAAAACTTTCACCAACGTAGTCTACGTTCCATCCTCCGTGTTTGCTGGGAAGACAAGAGAACAAATGCCAGTATTTTTGCTGATACCAACTGTAGGAGCATTGAGGCTACCGTTATCCATGAACAACTACGGTGGACTCGCCATATTACCCGCATGGACGACAGTAGACTGCAAAGTTGCTACTTTACAGTCACCTAACGAATAGTAAGCGTAATGCTGGCGGGCAACTGAAGAGGTATAAGGATAGTCTTAAGACAAACCTGAAAAAGTGCCAAATCGACCCCCTCAAATGGGAGACGATTACTCCACACAGTAACGCTTGGAGGAATATCATACAGGAAGATATCAATACTTTTGAGTTAGTCCGACTGCATGACGAGGCAGAAAAGCGCCAACGTCTGAAAGATGCTGCCGCCGCCCCTCCCGCTCTAGATGTAGCCTCCCACATACGCAATTTCTGTGGTCGACATTGCCGGTCCCGTGTTGGCCTCTTTAGTCACCTCAAAACTCACCAACGTAGGTGCAATCCCTATTTACTCATTTCATTGCATCATAGCTGGATGATCTTCATACTTGATTCTGACTGACAGCAAAGTAGTAGTAGTAGTGTGTGTGTGTGTGTGTGTGTTAATCAAACACTCCTTTCGGGTGTGGATTCTGTGATCATTGTAAGTGCTGTAACAAATCGCCATACTGTTAACTAGAGGTTTTAATAAACCTTAAGACTACACTTAACGAAATAGTTACGATCAGGTACCGTGATTGACAATCATACGTCATGCAGATACAGTATGTGTTGTTTTACATAATGTGAAGGTTGGCAACAAGGCGTTGCCAACCACCACTATCTCGCTCTCCGTATCACATAATGTGATGGTGTTGTCTGCACTTAGGTGAGGTGAGGTGAGGTGTTACGACCTTTGTAACACAGGGGGTGATGGAGCCCTGGGTAAGTGTGAGGTAGGGGTTGACACGTATAGTTGTTCCCCGAAATATCAGAGAGAGGCATCACCCCACTATCTTACATGTGTGAAACATTCAATAGTTTAGCCCAATTGTGACTTTCTGACCAACACACACACACCATACATCCATGTCGAGATGGTGTAGATACAGCACCAGAGAATCAGAGTCAACAAACCATACTCCTATATACTCCACATGTGTCTTCTCTTTTTACTTTACCATTCCACGCTTGTCCATCCTTAACCGCCCGCCCACTCCTGATATAATAACAAAATGATTAATATGGAGGTGCTAAATGCAAAGAGCTGTATATAACGAAGGTTGAAGTGTACACACACACACACGTACACACACACACACACACACACACACACACACACACACACACACACACACACACACACACACACACTCTTCAGCGCGACGGAGAACTACAAGAAAACATTAAAATC